ATTGTAACTGCGAATTACTGGAAATGCCTTATTTTGCGGGTGTCACACACGCGGCGGTAAAAGAGGAAAGAAAAATTGAACAAGACCATCCTCCCTTCGACCGTACGGACAAGCCAAAGGCCTCTCATTACAGATTCCGAGCGGAGTATTTGATTACCGGCAACGATAACAAATTTCAGTAATGCGCGTTGAGAACGAGGAGATAATTAATATCATCGAACGCGTCCCGCGTATAAAATTCCCGTCGCCGTGGAGAACGTCTATGTAGCTAGCGGAGCAAGAGGTGGAGGAGGAGGAAGACAGGAGAGGAGGAAATGCATTGCCTGATGCGACGTACAGAAGATGTAATCCAACGTGACACTGAAGCGGAAAGTAACATCTCGAGGCGCTGTAACCCGACGTTGTACGACGTGATGAACGAGCGCTCGTCGTGAATCATTTTATGATTATATTATAATATCGCTCGAGTAATATGGTCCGTCTCTCAGCGTGCAAGTCGAAATTTTTTTCCACATTAATCTTGTAAATTCCATCAAACTCGAAGAAACAATGGGGAATTTCGAGATACTACGTCATACAAACTATTGTCCTATTTTGAAGCTACAAATATTTGCTAAGCCGTTTTTTTCATTTGACAGTAACATTGAAAACAAATCTTGCCAAGTTATTCTAAAACGACTCTAGGATTTGTACTGTAAGCATTTCCAGAAAATAAAGTTTTCCCAAAAATAGAAGAATAATTTAATATCTTATCTAGATATTCTATCTGTTTTTTTTATCTTTAATTTAAATGAGCAATCTATCATCAATTATGTAACTTATTCAATAGTAGATGGAACATGTAGCATAAACAAATATTAAACAATATAATAGATATTATAATGTGTAAAAAAGTGGATTTTCCTTTCACATGGTCTGATATTATTTTTCTGTAATAACGGATATTTCGGTAGAAAGAATTTGGTTTCGGTATAACAATAAATAAAAGTGAAAAAAGACGTTGATAGATTTCAGATGAATTTTACGATTTAAGAAGAAGCATTAGTAGAGCTATAAATCAGCACTTGTCAGACTAAGATTTTAATTTTCAACTTAGATATATCTTTATACTTAGTAAATTCGTTAAACATCCGTTGAACATCCGTTCAAAATGGAAAGATCTTGTACAATAAATAATTCTACATACCTAGAGATATATGATGTATCATTGCTCGTGTATGTTCTGCATTCTCTGTCTTAGGTTTCCGGTCCAGCATCTTGTTGCCGGTTGCTCCATCGTTCCGGATACTCACTGACACTAACACACGCGTAGGTACGATTCCATCGGAGGAACACGTATTAACTAACGAGATGTCAACGAGAGAGTACAATTAAATATTTCAAAAGATAACGAAATATTTTAATCACCCGACGTGATTAATTTATGCTGATACACATGCTCCGCGTCGCGATATGTGCGTCACTCGTCGGCTCGAGACATAATAACTGGATTACGGAATAGTACGCGACGAGACAAAAAAAACAAAACAGTAGCAACCAAAACAATACGCAAGAAAAGTGAAATCGCCAACCGTCGTCGTTAGCCAAACAATGACGCATACTCTCGGCGCCTGAAAGATGACAACAATCAACGCTTTCAAAACATTCCGGATCTTCAAGGCATTTAAAATTTTATACATGCGATATCTATTGGAAGTGCCCCGAATAAAATTTTAGAATCTACTGCAAACTTCGCAAGTACTAATATTTGCCTCTAATCGCACTCTTTCTTTACGACTATATCGAAATTTATTAAATCTCCAAATTATATTGAAATTTTCAATGTCGATAAAATATAATAAATAAATTATGAAAAGTTTGTAGTTTTATTTACCTATTAGTCCTACATTATTTGTCTATATTAATTATTTAATATTTATTAATTGCATATTTAATATTTATTTATTACTCTCCATGAGCAAGTTGCATGACATATTATTTATTAAAATCAAATATCATACCTCAATATTTTTCATCAATCCTTCAATAAAATTGGCAGGGTTAATGTAGGATCAAGGTTTCGACATGGGAACAGTCGCGCGCTTTCTCCGAGTCGCACCGAGAGGCAATCGTAAAAGAGTGACAGTTGTTTCAGTGGCAAGGCAATCGTTAAGAAACTGCGAAATGAAATATAATACGCAACGCGAGATCTTATTTCTGCATTTGAGCGAACGTAGCTTTTGGAAAGAACAATCGTCACCTCATCACGATTCGCGCCGCTAGAAATTCCAGATACGCGGTTTCACCAAGGAGCAACTACGCTGGAAAAGGGTTAAAACGAAGAAGGCGGAGAGGAGGCGCATATATGGAAGGCCGCGAAAACGATGTCAGCGCGACGAAACGCGATGCAGACAAACGGGGGCGGGGGCCGAGAAAGAGTTTAAGCTGGTTCAGTTTTCTCCTTGGCCTTTGCGATCGTTTCCATCGGAGCGCTCGCGCCCGGGAGAGTAGCCGGTAGCCAAGGGGCAAGGAGCAAAAAAACTCAAAGCCGACGCCACTCATGCCGGCGAGCGGATTTTTATATCGGGCACGTACCGCCGCGCTACATACGTACGCGTAATACGCGTACACATGTGTGCACGGTGACTCGCGAGATGCTACTGCAATGCAAAAAACTCAGGCTAATATGTGGACTCGCGTAGATCGGTATCCAAGGATCTATTCTCCGACAGAATATGCATTTTTTTACGTCACTGACAAGAGTGCTCGCATGTGAGATTACAGCAGCACCAGAATCGTAGCGCGATCTACGGAAAAGGGAATGCAAGGAGAATATCGATTTTATGCAACTTTTTTCGGTCGGATCATTAATAAGATAATTACTACGAGAAACCGAGAGAAATATTCGATGAATGAGAAAAAGTATCTCGCGCGATAATTCACGGTACGATAGCGGCGGGGTAATTATCTCGATTGACTTGTGGATTAACGCGGGGATGGAGAAAGTTTAAATTTTCACGTGTATATACCGCAGTTAGTGCAGCCCGTGGTTGATGTCGGTTGAATGATTGTCCGAAGTACGATTGACGCATATTGAAGCCGCGAAGTGAAGAAAGCCGGGTGCACGTTTCAACGACGGATTCCTCCTTCCTCGAAGCAGGGGAGCGCGAAGGCGTACTTTGTTCAAGAGTGTTGCACGTATCGCATCGGATTTCACGTGGGGTCTGTGGTTCCTTGGGAATGGATACTCGGTTATGGGTTACAATCGTTGCAGTTCGCAGCCACGGTTGTGTACTGTGAGTATACATAAGACGAGTACATGATACATGCGAAACCTCTCGATTCACCGATTGGCACTTGAAATGTACTACCAGTATCATCGGCACGAAGTGAAATCTGAAAGGTTCACGAGAGGCAAACGATCCAAAGTTACACTCGAAGGTATAAAAAATGCAATATGTGTATTAAATATTTTAGAAACAACATTAATGTCGATAATATCGATACGATAATATCAAATAATAATATAACAGAGAGATATAAGACATATTTAAATGCTGAAGAAACATCCATTGTTTTTGCCAAAATGACGAAAAATTAATACTCGAGCAATGTTTCAGTGCAAGGATGCATTATTTTATGTAATCGGATGCATATCAACAGACCCAGTCAGTCGTCGGTCAATTCGTGCCGAAGGCGGAATTGATATCCGCGAGTCTGAATTACGAATTGTTCCTACATGCTTTCTACAGCACTTACGCCTACGATTAGGTAGTGCGTGAAGGTAAAGGAGAATCTGGTGCCAAGCGGAGTACAGCTGCAGCTGTCTTCGTCGCGTAGGACTGACAACAAGTCCGTAAAACGACGATTTATTTAACGATAGTAGACCCACGCTTAACTGATGTTAGCATCTATTGATGATTTCTCTCTGTACATGGTATGTGCGATCTTGATATAAAATTTCAAACAACATAAATAATAAACAAATATATATATATATATATATAATTATCAAAATAAATATTTATTTGTATGATTAAAAATTTAAAAAGTGTGTCAATTTATCCAACGTTAAAACCTAGTAAAAATTCTGCGTCATGTGTTAACACTGCATTACTAACAGAGTTGTTGGTAATAAAATTCGCAAATTGCAGCGATAGTTTCGAATTCCTAGGTAGTTTCATATGGTATTTTCCAATGACAGTTTTTCACTGAAAACTCGCGATGTTATCGTGCATAATTCCTACATTATCAGAAGTGAGTAAATCAGCTGCCTCGATACTATCTGAGCTTCAGGTAACTTCAGCTCTATAGGTTACACACATAACTCTATTGGGAAGATGCATAAAGCGCTTCACTGAATATACTGCAAGTTGGTAGAAGCGAGATCTGCATTTCTGGCAACTTGCAATCGTTCGTGATTTATTCCTGTCAAAGAAAAATAAGAAAACTGCAATAAACTTTCGTTAGCAATCAGTCTCCCATACTTCCATAGATATTATTTTTTGTTTCAATATTTATGCTATCAAAATAATATAGAAGATTTTTATTGAATTATATAAATAAAGTCAAGAAATATTGTTTCTGTAATTAGAAAAAAAATCAATAAATACAGAGATTAAAATGAAAATAGTCTGTGGTGATTCTCTCGATCCTTTCCCCGAGTACTTTTCCCAAACAGTTCAGCATCTTTCATTCTGAAAAGTACATTCACTTCGAGTGCTTCATCGATGAACTCGTGTATCGGTAGTTTGCGAAATATTACGATACACTTACCTGTATACCGCGTCGCATGAGTTCAACGATCGCCTTAGAAAAAGAAAAAAAAGGGGGAAGGGAGAAACGGAAAGTCAGGTCAGAAACGCAAGTCAGGTTAAAAATACAAGTTAAAAACGTAAAGGTCGGGAGAGATACATGCACGTTCGCAGCTGTGCTGATTATATGACTCTCTAGCATGCCCTTACCTCACCGCCCTACACAGATATTAAGGGAAATTTCTTCGTGAAGAAAGAAGCAGGGGATCGAAGGTTGAGAAAATTGTGCGTTTATTAGTGAAGACGACGTTCGAGCAATCTCACCACTTAATTTCATCGACGATGCCGACGCGAGGCCTCCGGAAGTCGCGTTGAAGTCCTAAATGAACGCCCTTCACAACAACCCTGTTGGAGACAAGAGAAGAGAGAGCGAATAGTACGATCGTCTTTAACGAAGACATAATCCATATATTACGTGTATCTTGCAACTCCTGCTTATGAATAGAAACCATAGCGAATATAAAATCGATACAAAAGTAAAACGATAATAAAAATAACGGCAATCATAAGTGAGGCAACATTTCGAGTAACATTTTGATTACAATATAAGACATTTTAAATCACAATATAAAATGATATAAATTATCATTTGCAAATCTTAAGGGGGGATATTGTACATTTGTTGCATCGCTCTATCGACCCCTGTCTCGATCTAAACGCAACTTACGCGCAATTTTTACTGCTCGCGATCTCTGTTATAAAACTCGCGTTCATCTTTCGCTTCGGTGTCGCGCGAGCACGGCGTTATCGTCGATGTCGGATTTAAGATCGACATAAGATTTTCACTAATCACTGTCGTCTTTCGCTTTCTTTTCTTCCGACTTTTTTTTCGGTCGCGGCGGACAGGCCTGTCCTCGCGTCGAACAAAGGATCGAAGATTTAAAAAGAATCGTGTCACTCTCTCGCATTCTCTCGTCTATTACTCTCGCACGCTTGCACTCTGCACCTATGTAGAACATAGCACATGTGTTTCTGTATATTTATATATATATTTTTTTTCTCTTCATATTTATATATATATATTTATATATTTATATTTATATTTATAATAATTAAATCTTCTCGTTCATCATATCTATCTATATATTATCTACAGGGCAGTAGCCGAACGCTGTAATTCACTTCGCGAATGTTATCGCTTGTCCTGTCCGCTCTCGACGACGCCGACGACTTCAATTTGACTAGAGAGACGTGCGCACATGTTCCCGCCCTCCCGATCTCGCGATGATCCTCTGGGAGAGCCCTATCGTGCGCCTTTCGCGTGTGTCATGTAATATTTCTACCTGTCGCAATGCGTAATACCGATCAGTGTCGCGAGTGGAGATCGCGCGGGCGCGCCGCGATGCGCTCGAACTTCCCCGCTCTTTTTTGGTCATTTCGCGACGCGGCGAGTATCATGTCTGTTGTGCCGCTGATGTGTCCCAACGAGTTCCCGAGTATATTGTTCGTGAGAAGAAAAAAAAAGGGAAAAACGGAAAAATTTCATACGGATGAACGTTGTTTGAGCTTGCGATATGCCGTCGGTGTCTCGGTCGAGCGTCACTACTCACTTCCGATCGCGACGCGGAGATCAGTCCCACGATGTCAAGAAAGGTACTAACGATAACTGGCAAATAACTGGCAACGCTTGACACTCGCACGTTGCGTGATTGACTTGTGCTTCGACGATAATTAGTGCGGACGTAGCGCAAACGCCGTAGGAAAATATCTTTCGGGCACTGCTCGATATTCGGCTTAGGTTTAACATTTAACATTAGTCGCGCGACATTTCTGCCTGACACCTCCTCCCTTATAAGCATTTATCGTTATTGTAAGATAATACCTGAGGGGAAAATCTCTTCGGCGTCCACGCTACGGTTCGCACTATCAGCGTCGTCGTCATGAGAACCGCGAGAACGATGCGACAACAAATGGCAGACGTGAATCCGACCGCAGAGAGCATTTGCGCGGATCTCTCCGCAGAGAGCGCGATCCCGGAGGGATGAAGCGAGTTGTCCGTGCGAGGAGCGATCGGTCGAAGCGCATCGCGGCCGAGAAGAAATCCGTCGTCGCCGGGCAGGCGTCGCGGCGCGAATGACAGTAGAAATCATCTTCGATCGTGGCGGCGCGACGTCGGTGACGATCGAATCGTCGTTATTTTTCTCAATCTCTTTTCTTTTTGCCTTTTCCTTCTTTCGTATCCGATACGTACTTATCGATTAGCGTTATCAAGGGCTTCCGCGCCGCGACTCCCGGCCAATTTTCGTCGAGCGTCGATCTCGTTATTTTTCTCTTCGCGTTTTTTCTCTCCTCTTTTTCCCCTTTCTCATCCGCAACAACGATGACAGTCCGATTTCGACGCGACAGCCTCGATTTAATGTGGGGACACTCGGATGTTTGGTTTTTTTCTTATCTCGTGTTTAGGCCTTTTTCTTCGCACGATCACGCGTTTTCCGATCGCGTTTCCGCGTGACGATGATTAGATATTACACGAGCGTACGCGCTTGTGTCAGGTTGTAAGTACGTGTGTGCGTGTCTCTGGTATGTATGCGTTTTGTGCGAGTCGGACATGTGTGTCGTGTGTGTATGTATGATCGTATATATCTGGCGTGTTAATCGAGTGTTGTTCTCTTTGGTGATCGTCAGACCGGTTGCTTCTACGCACGTTCGATCTTTGGTGTGTTCTCGCTGGCAGTAGCTCGGTATCCGCCATGGGGATGACGCGCCAGGAACAACAAAGATCCCCGTCCATCGAGCCTTTCATTAAAATGCTATGGAAGCAAACGCCAAGTCGATATTACCGGCGAAGACGCTCGGCTCTCTGTCTCTCTTTCCTTCTTTTTCTATTTCTCCTTACCTCTCCCTTAACGTTTTTCTTATTCATCTGAATAAGTACATGCGGCTTCGTGGCCTCATCCTTCCCGAAGAGGAAGACTCGCGGACTACTTGCAATTATAGAAAAGTGCGCGCGATAAAAAATGCGTCACGTTACGTAACGTTACATGACGTTACGTTACATTACATTACGTTACGTTACGATACGTTACCCTGAAGTTACAGCGGGCTGTAATTACGACGACGACGTAGACTCGATTATCTCCCAAGCGTGAATCGTCGCGGAAACAAGAGAAAGAGAGAAAGAGAGCGAGTGCGGTCTTGAGCAGATTAAACCTATCTTCGAGGACACGCGACACTCTCTCGACGAGCCCTGGCTACGCGCGTTAATCTTAAGATCACAGGAGTAACGATCGACAGGATGCATCCTGCCATCATGGCGGTTGCATCCCGTGAGAGAAGTGAGTATCAGTTTCAGCGAAGCGTCGATTCGCGAGCCACCCGACGGCTCGTGACGGCTACGCGAGTTCTTAGCGCTTGATCCTTCGCTCAAAAAAGTGTGCGGGCTTCCGGGCGGAGGAGACATACGACTAGATATATGACGATTATCATCAACGCATCGACCAAAACCGCGTCGAGTAGCCGCAGTCGTGTACTACGTAACAAGCATCTCATTTCGTCGTACGTACCAGATTCTAATCAGATGATCAACATTACCCAGCGAGCGCAATTGGAATCACAACTTTAGGCTTTTGCACATGCGATCGATCGAGATTTTTTCGTTCTTTCAATTTTCCGCAAATGCTGAGAGGCCAAAGAGGATGGGTTCGACAATTTTGGATCGCATAAGCTCGCTGACGTGAAGCACGCGTGTATGTGTTATGTGTGTATGTGTCTGTGTGTACGTGTGATTCGAATCGAACTCGCTCTTAAGCTAAGAAGAGCGAAAAGAGAGGAAGAAAGCTCGTAAGCGCTTTGAGTCGATCCTACGCAAGCTTCTGAGCTACCACGACGACGACGAAAAGTAAGATCGCGAGGCTCAAAGATCGATGGACCGAGGATCGAGGGTGTTCCGCGGACGGCTCGCCACCCCCGAGCGATCGCGTGACCTTCTTCTCTCTCTCTCTCGGCTACGATCCACCGTCGCATGCATGCGCTTGCACCGAACTCCTGAAAGTGGAACGCGAGCGATCAACGCGACCGACCGACCGCGATCTCGTCGTACGTTCAATCCGTCATTATGATCATCATTATTATCATGATCATCATCATCACTACCATCATCATCACTACCATCACCATCATCACCACCACCACCATCGTCACCACCACTACCATCATCATCATCATCATCGGTGTCGTAACGGCTCGCGTGTCGCGAGCGCGATTACGTGGCCCCGTTGCGCCTTCGCGTGGAAGAGCGAATCACTGAACAAGCCCCTGGCTTTTGGTAAGCCGATCACCAGGAGGCTCTCCTCGTCCACCCGAGGGGATGACTCGCGGATTCCACGGGATTAGCGGCTTTCCCCGGATCATCAACCGCGGCTGCGCGGCCTCGTTCGATCGTGTTCGCACGGGCGATTTCTCACCTCGACGAGAAGGAAGAGTTTTGCCAGACGAATTCCCGCCGAACGATTTGGCCGATCGACGCGTGGGTGAAAGGTGCTTGATAATTGATCTTGGTCCGCGCTCCCGACGTTCCTGGACCGTCGATCATACGATTACGTCGCCCCCCGTTTGCCCTTCGACTTGCCGCTGCTGTGCTCCTGCCCGGCGCTCGGGCTCGGCGAGCCGCTGTTCAATCTGGCCATCCTCCGGTAAATCTCGCTGTTGACAAAGCGCGGATACGAGTCCCGGTGCATGAGGGTGTAGATTTGCAGCTGAGCCTCGTCGAAGGTGTGCGGCGTCGGCTCCACCATGTTGCGGTTCACGATCTCCCGCACTTGTGAGTCCAGACTCACCTGCAAAGCGAGACGGTGACGGAACAAGTTAAATTCAAGCCGTCGTTCTTCATTCACACGGGGATATCCTGCAAGCTGCACTATGCGTTTTTCACTGTTAATTTACAAGCCGCCGTCTGCTTCCACTGGATCTACGTTTCGCTCCGTCGAATTTGCTTGTATAGAAAAAAATAGGATAAACTGTTAATTTTACATAATCATTTACAAGCATATGTAGACATTATTACGAAGCTGCAAAGTCTCGCTTTCATGTAAGCTTATTCACATACGCACACATAGACAGATATACAGATGCGGTTTAATAGAGCTGTATGGTAAATAGAAGGTTAATCTGCAATATTTCTCATAAATTTCGAATTTCGTTGTTTCTTTACCCAATACGTTCGCTTACGTCGCAAGCGATTTAAGATAAGGAACCTTCCGGGAATTATGGCCGGTAATGTATGCGCGAGGTGATTTTTGCACGATCTTTTACGTTATCTCACTGAACAATCTCCATGATTACGATAATACCATGACGGCATAACGTACAGACGTAAACATACAATTTGTCGTAATGTTCGAACGGCAAAAGACGGTTCGTGTATTCGCCCCGTTTGGGCGACTGAATAGGTCGTTAAAGAGGTCATCGGGTCACTAGGTCAGTAGGTTAATATAGAAGAAATCAGTCACGCGCATTCGCAATTTTTCTAGAACAGAGCTCTATACTGTAAAAAAAAGAAGGGAGAGAGAAAAAAAATATTCATGCCGTGTGTTCCATCTCTCCTTGCTTTATGCTACATTGAATTTTTCCCCCGGCTCTCCCTTTCTAATTCTTACGCGCTCGTCCTCGGGTTTTCACACTCGATAAAATGGCGCAATTAGATAATGCATCCTATAACGTTATCGATTCTGTCGTCAAAGCCGGCGGCTCCGAAAGGATAGAAATCGTTTTATGTTATGAAATGTAAGTGCTTACGAGATGCATCGCACCGGTCGGTCAAAGTAGCAGATACCGATCGCATGCCGTTGCGTATGTCATTACATTAATTGAACAGACACGGTTATGCCCGTTGCAAATGACTCGTGTATTTCTAGGTTGATTTCGTCCACAGATTATCTCTCGGACGAATTTGCCGTAATAGTTTAGCGCAATTTTCCCGCGGCAATAAGCATATGTAATTTTTCTCGCATCAATACCATGTAGAATATACGAACAAATAAATGACTAACGTGACTAAAAAGTGTGCATAAAAATGTACTTTGCATAATCTTGTAGCTTTATCTGTGCAGAGAGAAAGAAAATGCTACATGATCGCGTTACTTTATATAACTGCGGAGACGAGCGTAGATTCACTGGTAATACAAAGGCAAGCGGCCATTCATCGACTTCCAGCGAGTGCCCCGAACAAATTACGATGACGGTTATCACGAGCGAGATACGACGACAGCTGAACGGGGTTACTCACTTCCTTGGGCGAAAGTATGGATATGTAATCCTCGTAAATGTAACGCGCCTTCTCCTCGATCGTCTCGGGATTGCTCTCCCTCTTGAGTTGCTCGCAGGCCAGCCAGAAGGCGATGTTCTCCTCGCTGTACTCGCTTACGAGGAACTCCCTGAAGAGCTTGCGGCCGGCGGCACTCCTCATCAGCTTGTCAAAGGACGAGCCCCAGGCCCGGACCTCCTCCAAGTTGCAGCACTCTACGCCGCCGTCGAGGCCGTCGAGTCCGTCGAGACCGTTACCCGCACCTGCACCCGTAAGGTCGCCGACGCCCATGCCGGTGCCGCCGTGCTCGCCGTCGACGCCGGCGTTGCCCTTCTTCTTGCTCGGATCGCCCGCTCCGGTGCCAGTCGAGTTACCGCCGACTGCCGCCAAACTGATAGACGACGGACAGCGGACGTTAGAATCGTCGCGTGCCTCTCGTTGTCGTTAATGATAATAACACGAGGGGTCGTGTGAATAGAGATCGCGTTAGATTTGTGTTAGACAAACGAGTCAACGCAACGATCTTCTCACGGCGGAATTAACGGCTGTTGCCGAGTTATTTAATAATTATGATTTCGTAAAAGAGACTCATAAATCATTATCTCGTTTGAATGAAGAAGTTGGAGAATTCTATTAAAAATAACAACTATATTGAAGTAATCTTGTTGAGATAGGATTCAGTGCGATTCGAATGAGAATTTGTAATTGAATGACACGTTGACCCGTCGAGTTTCACAAAATGACGTGTGCGATGATCGAATTGAAATTGACTGCAAATTGAATTTAACCACGAATCATCGTGTCAGTAGCAATGTCAGAATTCATGATCACAGTCTGGCTTCGCGTTAATTAGCACGATCGTGCAACAACGTTACTCGGTGATTTTCGTTGACGAACATCCAGCATGATAGGAGGGACGCGAACGCGAAAGTAACGACGGACAGCCGAGAGTATGTGTGTGTGAGAAAATGAATATTAAACTCGGTAGCCTCGGGAAATGAGGAGATAAAATGAGCGGCGGAGCGGGGATTCTCGTGGACGAGCGCAAATAGTGGGAAATGATAATGGGCGACCAACGATCGTTAGGATGTCTAATTTAGACATTCGAGGCCACTGACAGCGTGAAACACAAAAAGACATACAAAAAAGCAGCATCGAGATGAATCAAAGGAAAATATTTCTCGTGTCGATAACAGATACACTAAACCGTTCACAAAAATGGCTCGAAAGGACGATTCTTTATGACCGACGATACAATTCTCCTATGGCGTTTCTGAACCACAATTGTGAAAATAAATAAAAATATCCATCATGTTTGGAAACCACAGTTGTGGAAACAAATGAAACTTTAAAAGATTTATTTAATACTTGACGAAAATAGTTGTATCTTTCTTATAGTTCTGTCTCTCTTTCTCTTTTCACTTTTCATTTTTTCTTCTTTAACACGTTTTTTGGAAAGCATATGAATCAAAATAGACGCAATGCGCGCAAACGAAGAACATATATTTTCTCCACTGGCGTATATGAAAGCGCACGTCGCGGATTCCTATTTGATTGATATCGACAATTATTCACAAGTCGATACGACACGTATGACAGTCTGTTGGGCGCGGCGAAGCAAGGAAGATTCGCAAACGAAAGAGAAGACACACGGGTCATTGCGTAATATCGACAAGACAGTTATCGACTCGTTCCGTGTCATCGGCAAACAACTAATGCACTTGCAATCTATGAATTTACGGCGAGTCCGGTGCGGATTATAAGCCATCTGAAAAATGTTAACGTTTGTGTAAAGCGCACCAACTCTGTACGGTTTAAATATAGAGTGATACGCAGCGAACGCGCACACGCGATTAAAGCATTGGGTCGAAGAAAAAGGTATATGTTTAAAGGTTCGTGTAATAATTGCAAGATAAGCGGCACGAGTTGCATACAGGATGGTAGTGCATAGTCGACTTTCTCTTTCGGGAGGACACTACGAATGTACAGGATTTTACTCTCGCTTTTCTTACGGTCTTAGTCACGTTCTTGCATTCCTCGCTCGTCGGTTCTTTTGTCCCGAAAGTTTTTAGGTAAATTTCTTTTCACAAAAAGCGTAGAGAGAAGGTTGGAATTCTCTTGCTGGCAAACTCGTATACACTCCCTTGACATCATCTTACTAAGAAAAGAATTTGATTTATTGTGCATAAACATTACTGCACATGGTTAGTATTGATCTGTTCATATTATAATTGTATACCATACGAGTCATCATCATTTACACGATTATTAATTTCTTTGCAAGATAAAAAGAGTCCAAATTTTTATTATATCGCAACAAACTTTTGGATTTAGTAAATTACATATTCAGAAAAGTGGTAGAGAAGTTCAGAGGAAATATAAACGATTGAAGTCAGTTCAAAGAATCTAGAAGATAATTGAGTAAAATCCTATTGAGAGGACCTTTTACGATCATTTTTCATCTCTTTCCTAGGCAACAAAAAAACAAATGTTACGCACCATACGAATGGTGTTTCTGACCAATGTATAGGGACTGTATAGGGGACTTTACAAATCAACGTATTGTCAAAATATTTTTATAGAGATGCAGTTTTTTAACTGCAGTAACGATTATAAGAAAATGTGTGTCTCCGAATACGACACGCGCGTATTTCCACAACTGAAATTCAGGAAACGCCACTGTACGCTGAACAGACTCTTTCGGGTCGATGCTAGCCAGAAATGAATAGGTTATTCGCGTTTAATCCGCAAAGATGGGTCGCAGAGGAAGGACGCGTGATATACGTATAACCCCGTTTCTCAGGACCGTAATACGTGCATTATGATAGCATCGTCATCGGCATAACAAACAAGCGGTACATCAACGCACACAGCCCGTGGCCTGCTTACCATTTATTCCTACTTATGGCATGAAACACAGAAAGGCAAATATGTAGGTATGTCTGCATAGCAATAAATGGATCATATAACAGTTTAAAGACAATGGACCGATATCGTTTCATTGGTGAAAGGTTTAGTAGATGAAGCGAGCTACGAAAGTAGCCGCGATAACGATAATAGCGCGTTGCTTTCATCTACTTTGCGCCGGTGATTACAATGACAGCTCTTTGTGCCGACTTGCTTTGTCGGCAATTCGCCATTACGAGAGCGCGCGTCGAATGCAGAACGGGAGATTCAAGTTACTCTGCGCCTCCGATTCGGAGGAGGTCCACCCTTTGTATTCGCGAACGACTTGTCCATTGTCGCGTGAATCGAACACCATTATATATAATCGAGTAAAACGCTTCGCACATCGGCACGTTGGCCTCTTCTCGTGACGAGTTGTAATACCTTATAGTCAAAAGAAATGCAAAAATTTAATGGAAAGTATGTTGGAGGTTAGAGATTAAGATACGTCTCACAACGAAAACGTTCATTCACAAACATTAAAAAGAAAAAGGAAAAGAGGAAAAAAAAAAAATACCTCGTGCACGCGTAAAAATTTCAGGTCGAAGGACAGAGTGGAACGGGGTGACGAGGAAAGGTAACATTGATTTTCGCTTGACATTCGTGTCGTACGAGGTGTTTCAGGTGCGATCGCGCCGATGTGCGAAGCGCAAGCGGATATGATCGATAATACCACGAGCAACTACAGCAACAGCACCAGCACAGGCAACAGTTGTCCTTCTTCGATCGGCCCATGAATCCGGCCGTCTGGCGTTGCTGTTGCTGCGACTGCTGCTGCGACGCGGATGCCTGTTGCTGTTGCTGTTGCGACTGCTGTTGCTGCTGCTGAGACGATTGCTGCGGATTGCTGTGCTGCATCGTGGACCCCGAGGCCTGGCTTTGGTTCTGTGCACGGAGGCGGCAACCACCAGCTACACCTTCGCCGCCTGTCCCGTGACTAACACCGATCCCCATTGCAGTTGCACCGAGTCCACTCGACATCTGCAAGCGACATCCTCTGAATCTGCGCACCACGTGCGAGCTTATCTCGATACTCAAGAATAGGCTCTACTAAATCAGTGGTTGCCGGAACACAATGGACCACTTGCCGGCTTTGTTTACGAAAAGTGGACGAACCCTTTTAGAAACTATTGTATCTTTTTAGATAGCCGTTAATAATGGCTTGGAGTTTCTTACGCGGGCGCGATGCTAGTATATACTACGATATCAGTGTATCTATAAATAAAATTGAGTTATGCCTGATAATTATAGCGACATAATCGTATAACAGACGAGAGGAGCGACTGAGAGTGAGAGTAATCGGAAATGTTATTCTTTTTATATCTGCACGTCGATATATTTAATTCACCGTCGAGAGAGTCGTAAGAGTGCTGGCGTACGTTCTGGTGGTCACGCCAATGCGGTGATTATAAAAATTGCGAGAAAGCAATCCCGACGTATCGCGGAGGAGATGCATCACACGTATACATCTGTACACGCCGAAAGTCGCGATTTAGTAGTTGGCACACGACAATGAAAAACTATTCATTCCGATTTAAGCAGTTCATATAAATCCCGGGGATAAACAATCAACTCGCGTGCGGCAACGCGATAAAGTCGTTAAGCTTTAATTGAAATAAGCTGACCGTCCCGCTGCATCCGCGACAAAATTAAAAAGGGAGAAATCGATAGTTTTACCGTGATGTGGAGGACGAGAGGAAGAACGTCATCTCTTTCTCTTCTCCCTCTTTCTCTTCCTCTCTCACGGACAACGAGTCGACAACAAGAGAGAAGAGAATCGGTTCTGATCTCGCGAGTCGTCTACACGTATGATATACGGGCATGTGTCGCGATTGAAATTTGCTATTACGTCAAGTTCATTAATTAAACGTTGGGATTACTTTATCCCGTGAGCGTGCACCACATCGGTCCGCGGATGTAGTATCGCATAAGCCTTCAAAAAGCAGCCAATTAATTCGGATACGATTGCCGTACGCTCAAGTGCACCTATCGATTGGCCCGTATTTTCAGCGCGGCCCGGTGATGGCGATATCGAAGTGAGAGATGTGTAGCCGGAGATTTATTATTCTTCCGTTCGCCGTTCTGTTCGAGGTCTCCGGTATTTAAAATTCATGATCGCCAGACGGCTGAGCTGACCGATATTGGATTCTCGGAGAAAGTATAAGGAGAGGATTAAACCCTTGATGTCATATTCAAGAACGATCTCAATTCGAAATCAGCGCATTCCCGATCTTTTTTCAGCGCATTTCCACATCTCGATCGCACTCTTGCGCGTAATGTCCTCGTTTCCAGCGCAAATCGATAATCTAATCCGCTTTCGTGTCGACTTGGCGTATTTTTCATTTTTTTTTTACTTTTTTCTTTCTTAATTTATGCAACGTTACACGTTATCAGCGAAAGCACACCACCGCGTTGTTAGAATTTATTCAGCCTTGTTAAAATCATGTAATACCACTAACGTCGTCACAGATCAGTTGTAATGAGTTTTATTACAGCGAATATGCGGCCATCTATGACCTTTCTGCATCTTTTTTTCTCATTCGATTTACACAAATTAGAAGGCGAAAGATGCTCGAAATCCGCGAGTGAGATTCTATTCCGGCGCCTGAATTTTGCGAAAATAATTCAGCACGGCTGTCCATTCTCTTCCCTGGACATAAAAAGAGATTCGCGGAATGGGCCTTGAATATGCATCAGCACACGCACGTAGTGGCTGTAGTGCGGCCCTTTATTTTTACGCCACGTCGTATATCGATGATCCGCTCTTCGCGCGATAACGACTACATCGGATAGTCGCTTATGCGGGATGTGGGCAGAAGTTGATAAACAGCGGGCACTGGCGTAAAGTGTACACGTGTAGCCGTGAGTAAACTCGTGCTGGTGAACGGGTTGCGTAAAGACGAGAGAAAGGAAGAGATAGAGGATGGCGGAGTAATTGCGAAAGGAAATAATCGAAATTGGGCGATCGCAACGATATCACGAAAGCGGCTCGTTTAATCGTTCATTCAGCGATATAAATCAAATATAGATTTACGCGAGCGATTTTGCACGGTCGCGAAATAGAGGCCGGAAATCGAAGAGATCCGCGCGTAAAGCTTGAAGCGGCTGGCTCGCTCAAAACACGCCAGGCACTGTTTACACACAGCGAATTCCACTTTGTAACACGGTCGTCTGTCCGAATGTGCCGGACCGCTGGTTACGACAATGTAACGATGCGAATTTCAATAATCTCCCAGCAATCTGTTTTGGCAGACATTGTGAAAACAAGCCGTCCCTCGGGGAGAAGAACACCGAGAAATTTAGGAAACACACTTCGAATCGGACGATTGTTAGCGAGCAATGAATTTCGCATAAATTCGTAGTACATTATTTAACCAAGGGGGATGTAAAAACAATCGTTTTACATCTCGAAGGTGTGTACGCGCAAACCGTTGTTTAGCATGAAATGCGTGAAAATAATTTCGCAAATTATTCGATATTATTTTCATTGCAAGAACATAGTAATTAATGAATTGATTAATTTGATGAATAAAAGAGGCTCGACGAATTGATATTACCGTTAATCAGTTATCCGTGGCTTTAAGCTCGCTCCTCTCACGATAATCGTACGAGATTATCACTTGGATTATCAAGTGCGGTATTCGGATAGAGGTGCATGCGTGTTTTGACACGTGGATGACTGACGCCTCGGCGATCTTTTACTACACAATTTTACCTATCGATTTCGTGTACGTCGCGGAAACTGCCAATGCGTTTGAAACGGCCCCGAAACGGCGATAGTGTTTACGCATAGCTGCGTGTCAACATGTCAATGGCCCAATGGCGTGTTGCCTTCATGCAGCACGCAATCGCGGAACACGTGCAGCTGCACCCTCTATCCCTCTTCACCTCCTCCAATCCTGAACAGAGCTTAGCCCGCTATCGTTGTAAACTTACTTCGATGGAGATGCGAGCGTGCGCGCATGTATTCATATAAACGAATATGTTATATTCCTCGCGTAAACATTACGTGAGCGGTACGCTGCAGGTACATCAAGCGGAACGCTAAAAAAACGGTAACGGAGTTCTTGTTTACGCTATAATCGACATCATGTTACGTTATTTCGGAGCTAATTCACGACGAACCGATCTTACAACGAGATAATTCGAATGCGATTGATTTCCAATATCCAGTGCAACTTCGTTATTTATCCGCAGGCTGTTGAATTCGAAGGTACTTCTTTGATGGAGCAACGAAAATTGATTTATTACAAGATGTGGATCTTTCTATCCAAGATCTATGCGTGCAAAAAGAAACCGTTACAGTCGCGGTTCTGTGCATCAATACAATTTCCACTTAAGCCCTATGAGGATGAGAGGGAGGGAGAAAGAGTGGCATAGCGCTGACCGCACAGGTCGCATACAAGGAATCCATTGCGTTCCAGTTCCACCACATCGCAAAACCAAATTGGTCACTATAGCAGGGAACACCCCACGGGGAAAAGCAGCATGACCCCATTAGCGCTCCGCGCTGACCTCAGCGGCGCTCTCTAAGACGGGACGCAAGAGTGTACGAATGCGAGTAAGTTCATTTTCTCCCCGCTCACCTCTATCATGTTCCATGCGTCCGAAAGCGAGTCCAGCTCGCTTCCCGCGTCCTTAGAATCAGCCTAATCGGCGTGTGGCCAGCGGCGCCGAGGCGCGGGGGTGCGGGTGCGGGCACGGCCGCGGGCGCACCGTGCCCGCGTACGAGTGTACCGATACGCGGTCGTTCCTCTAGCCCGGTCCTCCCGCGAGACCACCTCGCCGGGCCTCGCCCGAAGGCCGCATATTTCCAGCGCGCACCAGAGCCCTGAGCTGAACCACGAAAAACCCAGCGCACGTAACCCTTCTTCACGGACTCGCGGACGGACACATACGCGCACCACGAAGCACGATGTGGTGGTCTCTAGCCTTGTGCGACCGGGCGAGGCACTACGCCGTCGATGGCGACGTCGCGCGACGACACTCAGCAGCGGCAGCAGTAGCGCACCCCGAGCGGAGGGTTACGTCGTCGTCGCGCATGATACTTCGCCCATTTCCCGCCTTCTTCCGATCGTCCGTCGTTTCCGTGACTTTGCTGGCCGATACTCGCGGTATCACTACCACCTTCCGCTGTCACCCTCTTCTCGCGGCACCCTCCACTCTCTGGCGACGGGGTAGTCGCGCGCGCGAGTCGACTGGTCGGTGGACCGAATAGTTGTGATAGAAAAGAGAGAGAGAGAGAGAGAAGGGGGGGAAGGGGAGAGAGAGAGAGAGAGACGAGAGTGCGCGGATGCGAGCCTCGTCTCGTGGAGGCAGAGGAAAATAGGAAGTGGAGAAGATCCTTGCTGACGATGGCGTTCGTTCTCAAGGGTAAGCGCGATGCGATCGTAGAGATGTCAGAGATACACGGTAGCCTTCGATGGTACGTCCAATTGGTCAACAAACCATAACTATAATATCCTTGAACTTTACGACCATGATGACGGCGATGACGGTGAGGAAGAAGAGGATCTCGCTCGATCGATCCATTACGTCTCGGTTACAGTTTGTAGGTGCGGCCGCGTCGCGGTACACGCCGCATCGTGCGGTGTCACGCTCGCGATCTTCGCGGCCAGTGCCGATCCCACGCTGCCGCCTCTTTCGCTGGCGTAGGCGGTACGCGGAACGGCGCTCGATTTTGTCCTCCGTTATGTTTGATGGAATATAAATAGATACTCGCGCCTATTAGAGAAGCTGGTGCGCAAGGCGCTGGCGCAGCCAGCTTAGGCGCCGCTGCTGCCGCTGATGCTGCTGCTGCCACCAGTTAGGACCGCTGCTGATGCTGCCAATGTGTCTGTTGCTGATGTTGATGATCACGCTGACTAGTACCCGTGATATGTCGCTGCGCGGGGGTGAAAAAGGGTGAAAGAAGATGATAGAGAGAAAGAGAGAGAGAGAGAGAGAGAGAGAGAGAAAGAGAAGGAAAAAGAAGAAAAAAGAATGTGATGTAGCAACGAGCGAAAACAATGAGAAGAAATTAAGAGAAGGTATTAGAATGTGTTTGTATAGTAAAAAGAGAAAAGAATAGAAGCGACGAACGGGAAAGAAGAGATGTGGGGAGAGATGAAGTAGAGAGCGAGATAAGTAGAGAAAGGAAAAGACAGCAGAGAAAAAGAGAGAGAGAGAGAGAGAGAGGGAGGGGGAAGAGAGGGAAGGAGAGTGGAGTGTAAGCGAGTCGATGCGCCGGTTATTGATTGGCAGAAGTCGAGACCAGAGGGAGAGACGAAACCGCGGCGCTGTCACGCCGGCAAAGTAGACAGCCGAAGACTATCTTTGTGTTAGCTTCTCGTCGATTGATCGCTTGATATCTTCTGGGAAGACTTCCGGTCAAGTGTCGATCTCACGTCGGTGAGGTCAATGGTACGGAGAAGATTCTTAGGAAGATCGGTTTAGGAGGATGTGTTTTGTATCGATAATATATGGAAGTTATTGGTCTTGCCTCACTATCACGAATGGCGGCTACCGAAGGGGCAACTTTGCCGATTTATGCCGAATTTGCCCACGATATTGCTCTCTCTCTCTCTCTCTCTTTCTCTCTCTCTCTTTCTCTCTCTCTCTTTCTCTCTCTCTCTCCCCCTATCTTCGTCAAATTACTGTCGAGCACGTAGAAGAAATGATCAATGTAACATCGAATTCGTAGACGCAACGTAAGAAATTTGGTCTTCGCGAAGGGTGCTTCCAGAAAGGACGATCCGAAGAAGCATGTACACGTTCGGGGTTGGAAAATCGGTACTCGGTTTCGGTCGATCCCCGGCTGCGATCCTCGCTCGTTTGCGATCGCGCGATTAATTCAGAACACGAATCACTGGTTACACGCGTGTATCTCCTTTATCATTTTCTCCCTCTAGTCTTCTCTCACTGCTCGATGAGACCGATGCGGCGTACGGAGGCGTATACGGAATTATCGTGCGTACTTTCTTCTCGCCATTCGGTTTCCGTACGGCCACCTTGCCCTCGCTCCACTTTACAACGCGTATCTCGGTTATTACGCCCGGGCCGACATAGGCAACGATCGAAACCCTCGAGCGAAAGCTCCGCGACCCGCGAGGAGCTGTCGTCGGAGTTCGGCCAATATGGCGGTTACACGCGCTTACACGGTGCCTTAGCCAGCACTGCCGTCTGTCTCGCGGACGGTTCCAGCGACGCCGACGCGAGGCGCCGCGATGCGAAGCAACCCGGCGCGGACGCTTCTCCGCAGACCGCCACCGCCGCCACCGCCACCGCCGACGCCGACGCTGACTCCGCCAACGTCGTAGAACGCCGACGCCAACGCGGACGAGCCATCGGCCGGTGTACAAGCGTTGCAACGAAGCTAATGCTTGTGATCCTGCATGCGAATGACCCGACAGTGTTCGCAATCCTTCGTTATAATCACAGGTAACGTTTAATACGACTATAACGTATCGCATTGTACAACGATTGTGCGAATGATTGCGAGACGGAAAAGTCGCGCACCTCCGGTGGTTTTGCAAAATGGGGTAATACCGAAAGATGTGATTAAGACGAAGACGTGCAAATTCGACAGCATAATGCAACGCTAATGCCGATAAATGCCGATGAGAGTTTTGACAAAAAATACGATAACGATGAATCTCAAAAATGACAGTACATTTATTCGAGAAGCTCACCAGACATCACTCGATCTTAAATAACGTCCCACGCGAATTCTTTCGCTGATATTTTTCGGGCTTAATGTCAAGCTCTCGCACTGGCTCCCACCGGCCGTAAACAAATGTTCTTTTAGTTAATCTAACGTGGCACTGATGTAATCGAGAAACGTAATTCTATTCTGAAATAAGAGAAAAACTTCGCGATTCTTCATTTTGCATAATTTATTGGCACGTCAGCGGAATTTGCATCATTGTTTCAGGTAATTCCGAGGATGGAAAAGCTGCAAATTCGTGAATCACGATGGATGGCTGAGGGTTGAAGCTACGAATAATTTCGACGAACCTTAACGAATTTTCGCTCTACGAATGTCCATGTATAAACACAGCTAATAATAAACTATAATAAACGTCTAATAATAAAAGTACTAGGGGAATTATATGAAAGCGAGAGTGAAGCGCGATTGCGGAAACAACAGTCACGTTCTCACGAAATAAAGCTACTCGTTCGCGATTCCAGATATCGTCCCGAAGGAGAAGTGACGCGAACAAATAAATGAGCACGGACGTTTACGCGGGAATCACCGGTGCCGCGTCTGGATTTTTATGTAAATCTCGTTGTATATCTCGGAAATATTTTGTTTTTCCCAGCAAATCTCATTCCCCTCTCCCTTGCCTCTTCTCGGCGTATCTCGCGCATCGTTTTAGCGGCTTTTAAGTTAAGTAGTTCCGCGTCTGGCGCGAGAACGGAAATTTCTCTCGCGCAAAAGTGGTACCATCTCCTCCTTCCGTCCGCAGCCGCGGATCGATCGCGCGCGGCCGTGGGAATACAGACACCATCATCCCTCCGTCAGTTTTTTCCTCTTCGCGTCTACGTAAAGAAGACGCGACGCGACGGGACGCGAGACGACGCGAACGTAAGGGAATGTCTGAACGCCGAGGATCAATACGCCGTCGTCGACCCGATGCATTCGCTGCTCCTAAATCGCGACTCGGATGCAGTGAGTGCCGCGCAAACGGGTCTTCTCTCTCTCTCCCACGTTCATGACGCGGTGCGGCCTCCGGCTGGACGATAACGAAGCGTTGGAAGTTAATTTCGGAGCGCGTCATGGAACGTTACACATGGTAACGCGTCGGGCAAAATGTAAATGACGCTTGCCAGCGGGTGCCGTTGAAGGCCCTCTACTCGGTAGGGAATCCATCGAGAATGCCGACTAGAACCCGGACTCGGCTCGAATGGAAACAGTCGGTCCGACCATTTGCTTGCTTATCGGCCGTGGCGGCCGTCTGATGGTAGCTATAAAAGGCTTGCACGATACTTCCCAGTTAGCATCATCTTGCTTCGACGTTTTCGTAATACTTTATGATCCCTAATCAGGACTGATATAACGGGAGAAAGTGCGTACACGTCACACGTGTGACGCGTTACAGTCTCATAATTTAGCCGGGGTTGTGTGCGAAAATGTTACAAGAACACACCGCAGCGATTAAGTCGTTTCCGCTTGTACTCGCCACGTGAGCACGACGAAAGAATCGATTAGCAATATCATCTTCCCTACAATTCAAGCTTAACGTCTGATCAATAACGAACGCCGGTATTAGGAATGGTAAGTTGATAAATCGTATTGATAACGGTAAGTAGATTGGATTGAGGAAGCAGTGATATTTCGCAAATCGCACATTGGAGTGAAATATGGAGATATAGTAGACGGAAATATAGTAGACGAGACGAGAAAAGAATGAATTTTTCACCGACAACCATTTTCATTCTACGACAAATTTGCTGTCTTAAAATGTGAGTGTAGTCCTTTTGACCTGCAAAATTCGCGTTCACGTATACTGAGAATAAAGAAGCAACAATGCCGTGACGAAAGGTACTCTCCCTGGCCTTCCTCAGGCAAGCAGGCCTGAATTTCTAGACCTTTCCGTTGAGAGCTCCCCCAAAAAGGGATCTAGAAGGTCTTCCCAGAGTGTTCCCCCACTATCCCCTTCCCCCCCCGCCCAATGCGCCCTCCAAGCTCTAGCTTGGGCTGCGTTGGACACAAACCTACAGACAAACCTGGCACAGGGAGGCAGGGAAGTGCCAGGCTTGACGAAGATATGTGTATTAGTGTGTTCGTATATGTAAGGTAGAGTGTGTTGCATCCACACCGCAAGCAGACCCATCGTCACTGACATTGTATGTGTGGTGGGGTAAAGGGGGGAAAGGAGGGAGGAGGAGGGAACAGGCTCGACTGCTCCCCCTAATACTGCAGGATTGAATGGGCGAGGAGGGTGGTATTGGGTTCCCTCACCCCACTCCCACCACCCACACGCCTCTGCTCCCAACCCAGCACAGCCACCCACTTCTGTCCGCCTGCCACCCCGCCTGCCCACCCACTTGCCACCCGACTGCCGTCGAGGAAACAACCTGCAACCGAACCAGCATAACGTTTTCTCGAGCAACGATTTTCATACTTGGTCTGCGACGTCTTCGCGCTCAACGTGAAAATGTAAGTAATTTTACTCTCATCCCCACGGATCTTCCCATTCCTTCGCTCGAAGCATCCCTTTGGTTCCCACTGTTGTGCTGCCTACCCTGGTGCGCCTCTACTACGTGCAGTCTTTCTCGGTATCTTGTCGTAAACGTATCTCTCGCCAGATGTGCGTCACGTTCTTCCCGTGTAACATCCGTGACAAAATAGTTATTTCGCGAAATAGGGTGGAAAAGGAGCAAGCGGGTGGATCGAATGGAAGCGAAAGAAGCAGAGGGAAAAGACGCGTAACGCCGGTGTGATGATCGGCGCGAACAAGAGCGAGAGGTGAGGCCTTCGCGGCAGTATTGTGTATATCGCGAATAGGCCGTGTGAATACCTATCGAGACGCGCAGAGTATGCGGTGTATGTGCGACGTCCTCGACGATGTGTTGGTTCGTATTCGATGTGTGCGATAGGTAGAGAGAAGAAGATAGATAGATAGAGAGAGAGGAAGAAAGAGAGAGATGGAGAGAGTGTGTGTACACTACGGGAGAGCGCGCGTGTGCCGATGGCGCTCGAGAGCGGGCGCTCGCGATACTCCGTGGTATCGGATTCGATGGCGAGCACGATGACGATGTCGCGGGTGCGCGTGGTCGATAGACCGGCTGTGTTACTGCGGTCTTCACCGTGGCCCTTTTCGCGAAGTGTGCACGCGTACGCAATGGCGAGGCGACGGCGACGGCGACAGCGATGGTAACGATGGCGATGACGCTGACGCTGGCAACGGTGATGGTTTCACTCGCTCTCCTCCATTACGTGAAGCAGCGGCCGAAAGGAAGGACGAGAGAACGAAATGAGGAGAGAAGATTTTTCGTCTGGACGCACGACGTGTACACGTGTATACAAACATGTCTCGTGTACGTATAGGGTTATACGAACGTACACACGTGGACGCGGAGATCTGCTTGGCGTCCTTGGTTAGCCGACAATAATTTCCGGATGAATTTAAATGGCGCACTGGGCGCTCTCTCTCTCTCTCTCTCTCTCTCGCGCGCGCTCTCTTTCTTTCTCTCTCCCCTCTTCTCTCTCTCTCTCTCTCTCTCTCTCTCTCCTTTCTCTCTCATTCTCTCTGAATCACTTTACCGATCACTCTTATCCTTTCTCTCTCTCTTTCTCTCTCTTTTTCTCTCTTTCACTCATTCTCTCTTCTCGGTCTTCCTTTCTCTCAGGATTGTCTCTGCCTTTATTTTGACCAGCCATGTGCTCGCCTTCCTTGGCTACTCCCTCTCTCTTTCCTTCGAGATCTTTCTTTCTACGATAACAGAGGTTCTCAATCCAGGTAGAAAAACGAAGTTATATCGCCCGACTCTAAACACCCTGTACGCTCCACCATCTGTCGTTTGTATGGAACGTGCCCTCGATCGGTGTCGGAGGGGAATATTGATTTATTCTTCACGGTAACCCCTTCCACGCACTGCACGTTCTTGCTTCCCCTCCGTATGTACGTGCACACCCGTTCTGATACGTATAGTCGTGTGTACACGCACACATGCCATGGTGTTACCAGCAGGGTTGCTCGTCTCCCCCACCCTTTCGCTCAAGCGGCAATCGTGGCGATCAATACACACTCGCTCCTTCCTCATTCCGGATGCTGTCGCTACCCCTGTTGAACGCGGCAACAAATTCTTGCATGTATTACCCGATCAAAATCAATTAGAATGCCGAAGTGACAAAAGTCCGTTTTAGAATAAAAATTAATCATATCAATTGACAATCGGTAGGTAGATATTTATCACAAATAATAAAAGGTTACTCATAAAAGCACTTTTAAAGCTTAGAATGAAGCATATAAGAAAGAATGAAGAATGAAGAAAATCAAAATAAAAAATAAAATTTAGAATAAAATAAAATTTAAAAATTTAGAGTAAACACAGATGCAAAAAGATAATCTATAAAAATTATTTTTAGTATATATAGATAAAATAATACTGTTGTGTTCTTTGAAACATTAGTCGATTTGCAAGTTGATCTTACATTAATCACTTTGATGTTTAAAAATCTAATATATGAATGTATGGTGAGTGTCGCGTTAGAATGAACCATTGAGAAAATTTCATAGTACGCTATTGCTTTATATTCTGTCTATTTCAAGTCTAATCTTGCGAAGCTTCGAAAAAGTCGTTAACGCTTACTTTATAAAGTTTCACATTCCCTTTCTCCCTTCACGTATCATATTTTTTTCGCACATTCATTCTCCCCTAAACACATTTCTGGAAATATGAACATATTCATACTTCATATATACATATTAATATATATGATGATAAATCATGGTCGTATATGGTGGTTGCATACGAAACTGACTATTGATAGTATAACTTTTTCTTATCATTCTTTTCGTGAAATTGAAGTGCGACAGTACGATTATCATGATCATAACTATCACGTATTACAAATTCATCGTGTGAATCATAAAGATTTTGTCGTGATAGATCGAGAAAGAGATATAATATAAATATATTATTTTCCTCGATCTCTTAAATTATCAATTTCCTCAGTTTTATTTCGGAACACATTTCCCTTTTCACTCCATTTTATGGCAAGGGGTGATATTGCGGTTGATACTGATAGGGGATATATTGCGGTTGATACTGAGAATGCACAAAGAAATGGATCATTTTCCTTACTATTAAATTACCATTAAATTCTCATTTTCACTTGAAATAGTTAAAATGTACGAATGACAATTCTATGATATCGCGGTGAAAACATTGTTGTGTGTGTGTTTACATTTTTTTTTTAGTAAACTAAATAGTTTATAGAATAAACATTATTTCTGATGTAGATTTTTTAAATCTAAAGAGAAAACGAGAAAGAATGTTGACGCATGTTAAAATGTGGAAAATTTTCACGCAGAACAAATAACGTTCAAACGGTACATTGTAGGGATACTTTCCTTTTTCAGTGTAAACCTTGACGACACAAAGCACGCAGGTAGACGGATTACCCATTGATGAAAAGAAAAGATTTATTATTCAAGAATAGCTGGTAACCGTGTTTTCAACTTTGAAAAATGGAGGGTGGAATTAGTAGGTTGGATTGCTATGAGGATATGTTCAAAGAAATTACGAGAAAACTTTACGGCGAAGATCCCGATCATAGAAGTATGTACAAGCATTTTACTTGAAACTTGAATTTTACTTACAAGCATATTTATTTGAAAATAACAATACGATCTTTTACCCTACGTAGGAAGTCGACAGAAGGCTCTTTTGTGAAATTATTTATCTCTGAGCTGTAAATAAAAAAGAAATATTTCTCTTTTCCAATTTTGCTATATAGTTCATCACAATAACTTTTTTGTTAATATTTTTATTTGATATTTTATTTAATACTTAACATTCTGTTTAGGACTAAATTTTAAAATTATTGCAATCAGTTTTTAGACATTTTTATATATTTATTTTTTCAAATATACACATATTGTATTCCGTTGCAATAGTTGTGCTTCGTATACGTACACATTTTGATGCAATTTATTATTTAAACAAAGTTACTACTGACTTTAAAATGAATTTATTATTTAAATTATTTATTTAACGTTAACCATGTTCGACAATTAATGAAATTCCGTGTAGAGATAGTAAGTCGGTTAAACGACTTTTCCAGATTGAATTCATTTGATGTGACTTGTTGCAATTTTGTCGATGTAGCGTCAAGCGTACAAAACGAGTTCGAGACATCAGTTTCGTATAAAAATGACGAAGATACCGGGAATGGAACTGATGGTAGTGACGACGGAAATTGGACGTGCGAAGAGGAGCCGCTCAAGGGTACAGATGGAAGCCGAATTGCAGCTTACCATGCTAGCAAAGCAACGTGGCGATGCTACGAGTGCGGTAAGTTTAAATTTGAAGCATAAACATTAACGATCATATACAATTACGATCATACTATTCTGAGAGATCTAATGCTACGAAAAACAAAACATTTATAATTCGTTAACTCTATGGTATAATTATTGTTTGTTACTACAACATAAAATGCTCTACGAAAACTCAGTTGAACTGATCGCCAAGTTTTTTTTTATATAGGTGAGATAATGGGAGGAGGCCCACGAGAGGCTGCTGAACATTTTATGGAACTCCATTCGACACGAATTCTAGCTGACGACAATCGGCAAAGACACCATTCTCCCCGTAAAGATTATTTGCATGCGGAACTAAAAGTGGACGACGTAGTGACGTACTTAGAAAGGTTGAGGGAAAGAGCTGAGCGGTCTGCTCCTCCCACTCGTAGAACACAAGAGACGCAAACTCTTCCGGCAACTCTTCTGCCCATGACCTCAACTTTTTTGTTACAAGAATTACCTTCTACCTCACAAACTCAGCACCTTCATCAGGTACGTGGGATCGTAACATCTTCAGTCCCAATGGATACTTTAGTGCGTGAAGACCATGCTTGCTCTAGCTCTAACCTTATAACTCGTTAATTCTTTAACAATCATGTGATATTTTCATGATATTTTTCGACTAATTTTTTACGAGTGTAAATTGACATAGTGAAAAAATAATACTATAAAATGTCGCAGACTACTCCACCACCTTCAACTTCGACACCATCGACATCCGTGGCGGTAAAACGTTACAACTGCAAATACTGCCCATACGGTACTGATAGACGCGATCTTTTCGTGCGTCACGAGAATATACATCGGGAACAGAAGCCATTTTTTTGTTACGAGTGCAACAAGCCTTTTAATCGTGCTGACCACGTGAAAAAACATTTTACTCGTATGCATCGTGAAAGCAATTACGATGTCTCGCGAATAAGAAGACCACCGGAGCCGAAATCAATGTCGCAAGACCCGACCGAAGCACCGGGGCCTAGTAACAGCGTGAATAGTCAACAACAGCAACAACAGCAACATGTCAGTTATCAAACTTTCACCGGCAACAGGGAATATCAAATGCAACCAACTCCTGGCACGAGCAACGGTGCCGGAATTTATCAAGCGTCGACCATGCAAAACATGCCGAATATCACTAGTGCTATTTCGCCGCCCGAGGCGAGTACAAGTAGAAGAGGACAAAGCAGCGGATGTCACAGCAGAAGCCATACAAAGAGTAGTTCGAAGAATACGGGCGAACGAAGGTATGTGTCGCGGTTGTTGTTGACGATGTCGCCTGAGAGGTTAATGCTGCTGATGTAGAGGAATAACGTTCAAAATAAGACAAAAAACATTAGACAAAAAGATAATAAGAAACAATTACCTTCGACATTTTCACTAAAGAAAAGTTGTTCCAAGTTACCCGAAGAATTTATTATTACAAAATAATACGGTAGAAATGGAACAACTTGTATAAATTCAATTTTTCATTACGTTGTAATGAAAAATTATAATTGCTTAGTCAATCTGTAGCGCTGTGTGTACATGTGGCATGTTGTTACCATATTGTTATAATTACGATGGTCAACATGTTTTAAAATGTGACTGCAGTATTGAAATGTTGTAGGTTTTCTTGTCAGTTTTGCCCATGGACAGGGGTAGACAATTGGTGTTTGAAAAGGCATTTAAACACACATATAAAGCCCTATTCGTGTTCTTTATGCGACTACAAAGCAGCGCGCTCCGAAAGACTCTCGACGCATTTATCGAGAGTGCATGCTAAAAAACAATGCACGAAATGCGGGTTTTTGTGTGATACGGAAGAGGAACTACACGTACATCAGCTTCAAACGCATCGCATGAGTAATACATCGGCATCGGCTTCTCGGGTGACACCGCCAACAAATCGAGCCTCGATCCAAGAACCTTTACAGTGAGTTGACACTTTCTGGAGTTAACGACACTGAATCTCTCATCACGCGATATTATCGATGTTAAAAATACATGACATTAAAATTAAACCGAGAGGGATTTTATAACATTCGATTCGCATATTTCCCTAACGATAGAAATAATATCGCACACGATGCAAAATGTTTTATTGCCTCGGTCACGGTTAATTATTTACACGAGGATATATAATCAAATATATGAAATTTGTCCATGGGAATAACTGATAGTTCGAATGAATTGCAATATTATATAATTCCTTACGTTATATACTTGGAAAAATTCTAAATAGAATTCAGCGTCAGATACATAGAGATATTCTTTCCCTTTGTATGCGCTCTTATTATGACATTCGCAAAACTTTTAATTTTGTTAAACAAATTCCACATATATTTTCCTACGGAGTAGAAGCGAACACCAAACTTTAAGATTCAATCTTTTCACAGCAATTCGATGTGTTCCTACTTTCTCACGAATAACTTACACGGTTATTCATCGTTTATTACTGAATTTATAGCCCCCCTGTTGGAGGTCGTGCGCCACCTGGGCCACCCGTTTTCCCGCCTCCGCAACAACCAATAGTGCAACCTTCTTCCTCTGCAGTGGTACCGTCGACAAGTACTCTTCTCGGGTAAGCATCATAACATTTACAGCTGCTGCACGTGATGCTTTTGTCACTTTGTTCGGTCAAGTGCTATATTTGGTTGCATAACTTGTTTTCGTTTCTCTCGGTTACCATTAAATCGCGCACCAGTCGCGTGGTATTAAACCGTGAGATCTCTTGAAATTTTATGTTTGTCCATTTCGGTTAATGTCGGCACGCATAACGATGGGTTACGAATTTGTGCGTTAACTGTTCATTACTATCTATCGAACGATATATTAGGCGGCGATATAATGCTGCGATCACGATTCCGAGTATCGATCGTAACCCGCCGATGATGCGTCCAACGACTCGTTGCGTCGTTACCCACTCTTCCTCCTGTGTCTTGTGTTACGTTTTCGCGTCATTTTTTAATAATTTTTTTCGTCACAAAGCCTAAACCTCCGCCGATCGAGTCCTCTCGAGGCGCCGATCGTGTAGTCACCATGTGCACGCTTTGTTTGCTTTCGGTGTAGTAGACTATGCGCGCGACGTCAGTCGTATATGCGCGCTGTTGTTGCTGGATGTGTATCCTTATCTAGTTACACACCCTTTCCTTCACGTCGTACCACGACGGACGCTCATACGTTGGTAGAAAAATGACGCGAACGTAACTTATGGAACAGTGCCGCGGTGGTTGCAGCCACGAGATGGTAAAGTCGCCTGCAACTGCAACGACTATGGCATACCCCACGGAGGAGGAGAAGCGGTCGTACTGTCGCGCTGGCGACGTCAACGGTGACGGCGACGCCAAGCACGACGACGTTGACCACGCTGACGACGACGACAATGACGACGACAACGACGACGACGATAGTGACGGCGTCGTCCGAAGCAATGGTAACCGCGAGGAACGCAGTCGTGACTTCGGCGCGTGTCACGTTTGCAGTTTCAAGAGTGATAGGGACTTTGAATTATGTAGCGATCACAGTAATAGATGTATTAAGGACGACGTTATTGATGTGTCCAACAGGAATAGCCTAATGCTACGCCTACTTGGTATCGACATAAGTGACCGCACGATACCTATACATATAAATATCAACATGCAAAAACCACAAAGTCAAGAACAGGCGCCAGAAAAGCAAGATCTCCACCAAGTATCAGATCCGAAAGGAATTCCACTCAATACCGAAATACTACACGCCGCTTTAATCAGACGTGTACATGGGCAAGAACAACAGTGCCGTGTCAATGATTTAGAGGACGAAGGAAGTAATTATACTCCACGAAGAAGGAAGCAATTATACCCGCAAAAAGTGCATTTCGATGAGCTGTTGGAGTCAGAGGAATCAGATGAAGATTTTAGTTGGATGTTTTTACCCAATCAATTACCCGATCAATCGCCCGATCAGTTGCCCGATCAATTGCCCGATCAATCGCCCGATCAATCGCCCGATCAATCGCCCGATCAATCGCCCTCGGCTACCAAAGAAGACGCAACGATGCAGGTAAAAATAAAAAACAACAATGTACAATCGGGTAAAGTATCACCAAGGTTGTTCATGTGTATTCTGTGCCCGAGGCTTAGTACGGCCGGGCGAGGTACAGTCAACGAGGGACATAGATCATATCAAACCCGAACTTCGTTGTTATTACATGTAAGCGATCGAACTGAAGAAATACCATCTTGACAATTAAGAATCATAAAAGAAAGAGAGAAAGCGTATCGGAGCGACAGCCTGGATAGCTTAATTGGTAGAGCAATCGCCCGGCAAGCAAAAGATCCCGGATTTAATTCCCGGTCCAGCAACCTCGTGTTCCCGATACATTTTCTCTCCGACTTTTATAGATTTCAGAAGTATGATCGTGTTCATGTTTCCTCGGAAAGATTCGGATTAGCTATTCGGTTTCATATGTGCGGGTGTTTGAATTTAAAGTCATATTATGTGTGTAACTGGAGCTGTATGCGTCCGTCAAGTTGGGTGGCTGGTGTACACGTTTAATGTTAGTGTAGTAGCAACCTCGTGCTCCCGGTATATTTTCTCTCTGACTCTTATATCTTCGTATTCACGGGTGGACATGCTCGCTAATTTCGTCTGTTTATTAGATGACTTGCGCGTTGCGCAACTTCGACGTTGATTTTCGTTGATCCGAAAATGGATTACGTCTGGAATCTGCGCAAAATGTTTATATTTGTGGAGAAAGATTATAATATACATCGATATTTCTCCGTTTCTTCGTTGTGTAACATGTTCGCTATCTATACGTACTATCTCTTACGAGAGAGACCAACGTAATATGTGTGACAGCGATTATTTTTCTTTTCATGTCCATATAAACAAACTAATTTGTTTTACACACATGACAAAAAAATTATACAGAGTGAGCTATAGGGAGAGTTCCCCAAATGAACCGTGATAGCGAACATGATAAGTCAGTAACACACGTAACTTAGTACAAAGTACAAATACCGATTATATTTATTATTTTAATTTTGCTATATTTTTTTAATGTCGTGATGGAATTCATATCTTTTTATAATTGGAATCAGATATTATAAGATTTAAATGATACAATCTGACGCTGGCAGTATGAAAAACAAAAAGTGTGTGGCTCAAAAAATGAACAACATATAACAGCATACAGAGTAAAGAGATGTGCAATGGAAGTAAAAGTAAGGATCAGAAAAGTCCTGTGAAATACATCGATATTCTGATATATTTAAATCTCTCGATTGGTTGGCTTCAAATTGCCGTGTTCCTCGTATAAACTCTATCGTAATAGGAATGCGTAGCTAAATTTGTGTTTGTCGAGACGAGAATCGCACGTGACAGAAAAGCACGAGATTTCGTGCCTTAAGCCCGTATCAAACTACCGACTAGACAGGCCGAACCGATTATCGAAGCGACCTCAATGTGATTAGTTCACTAAGAGTCGACAGTCGGGTCGACCTGTTCAATCAATAGTTTGATACGGACTTTACTTGATGTAACATTTTAAAATATCGTTTAATGAACCACTAATATTAACGACAGACAAGTTTACGATGTGTCAGAAAAATACGCAAATAAATAGTATAATTTCTACACAAATAACTATTATATATTATATTAAAACGTAATTAACTTCTCGAATGCGCGAGCCAAGAATAATATAACTGTTTGCATTCTGATTACGATAAAGTTTAGGAAATATGCCATTTTTTTCGATTAATTTACTCTCCACAGAATAGGAACAATTTGCCGAGCGTCAGGCACAAGTATTTCAAATACCGAGGATCGAATTAGATTTTTGCTATTTATATATTGGACCAATCAAAACACTTGACCTAATTGGTCAATTAATCATCATCATCACTTAATCATTTCTTCACAGTGAATTTATTTTATCTTATGTTGTTGTTTTTATTTAGAGGAAATTTTCACTTCACGAAAATCTTTTTATTTTATCAAACAAAAAAAAATTAAGAGTCGCAATAAAAGACGTCACACATACAAGTCGAGATAATATCTTTAACATATAAAGTTATACCATTCTAAAGAGCTTTCCATAAGAAATTCATGTTATGTTCTAGAATGGTGTAGTTCATGTGTTAAGATTACTATATCGCTTGTGGACACATGTGTAATACAGATAACAATATTAAGTATAATGTCTATATACTATATACCGCTATAAAAATAACACTTTCACGGTGATTAATCACGATTGATGAATAATTAGTTGGTCTTGAACAACATGAATTCGGCCAAAAAAGATTGAACCGAATTCTCAAAACTTGAACTCAATAGCTTTTTCTTGTTATAATCTAAGATTGTTAACCTTTCTTCATTTTTTTTATTCGTTATTGTTTCATGTACTCTGACACGAAAAGTAACGAAAGGTTTTACAGAGAGAGATTTCAAAATACTTTCCCTAGAAGTTTTCATGGATCTATTAGATAAGATATTTGATCGAAGTGATTTTTCTTATCATGAGTATTCGGATAACATTTCAAGTCATCGGAATATATCGGATATTTTGTCAGAAAGGACAACTCAGTTTCGACAACAACACAAAAGGCTGCAGATTTTCGTTTTATCACGATAAGCCATTTTTATTATGTAAAATGCAAGATCCATAATTACTCGGGGAAATGTAAACAGAAGCTAGTCGGAAAGTCGAGTCCTAGTATTTCCGTGATCGAAATCGTGTATATTTCTAACTTCCAGAAGTAAGAGATGAGAGAAAAAAAAAGAGAGACAGAGAGAATGAGGGAGGGGGGAGGGGAGAGAGATGCCGAACTACGTACGAATGAAATAAATGTGACTCTTTAATTGAAAGTACTTTAACGTAACATAGGAGGACATGTGAATACATTTTTTCGCAGCGGCCTGCTCAACCGCTTTTGAGCATAAGATATCAATCGGATTTAAAGTGATTGTAGATGTTGCATAAAATACAGGATCCTAAAATTGATCACTTTATTAATATTGTTAATTAATTTTTTCAAAACAAATTTTAAACCGTTATTATTTACATTAAATTAAAAATTTTACGATTATTTATTAATTATATTAATTATAGTTGAAGTTTCACTCGAAATTTACGATAATTTCTTGATGTATATTATTTTTTACTTTCTATAAAATTGTTGGCTTTTCGGCATAAACTTTATTAAAAAAAAAAAAATTACAGAGAACCAAATCTAATTAAATCCTAAAAGCCCGGAGTTCAATTAAAATCGCGTTTCCTGAAGTTAAACAGAGATATTTCCTTATCTCTTTCGCGAGAGTCTTGGAGTATATATTTATTCGTTTTAAATATTCATAGGTCCTTTATAGTCAGTGCAAAAAATATTGAAATTAAAAATATATATACAACTACTTAAAATGAAGTGATTGATTTTAAGGCATTTTAAGACTTACGGTATGACCTTTGTGGTTGCGAAAAACACACTACGACGATATTTTTAGACGAGATGGACAGACTGCAGCGACAATGGGTCAATAATCGATGTCTAATCGAATTCGTCTTTTTCAATCTTTTCGTCCATCTAATTCTACGCATATTTTCTCTCTTTTTTCTTAAAGACAATGATGATGTCGTTAATACTTCGGAGGGGTCTCATAATGTAAGCCTTCCGGAAGATATGCTTGACTATACGTGATTTTTATATAACGCGTTTGTACAAAAAACGTTTTCTTGTTTACGTTATCACGTGAAATATATTATATCATGAAACATGAATAAAGGAAAAGTTGCAGACTTGTAGAAGGATCTCGTTGCAGACCTAAATGTTTGCACTTTTCTATATTTTCTTCTAAATCACATTTTTACTCCTATATAGTCATGTATAATCATAATCAATTCTCCAATATAATCCTATTCCCCATATATAATTCCAATATGTGCTTATATATAGTCAGTAAATAAAAAGTTGCAAAACTTTTACCTCAATGAGTTTCATAACATGTACAATAGGAGAGATAGAGAAAAAATTTGTTTTTTTTTTTATAAGTATCAGAAGATACATTTTTTATTGAATACGGGATACGTTGCGGAACTTGTCAAAGTAAAAATGTCGCAACTTTTTATTTACTGACAGTAACTTTACTCGATTTTTCAATCACCAATTTCAAATTCTTACGCAGATAAGCATGAAAAGAAAGAAATCATCAGAAGGAAAAAAGAATGGAGCGAAAAAGTCTAAACCATCAAATCTAGAGGAGTAGTGCGAGAAGTGGAAAAGAGAGAGGAGGAATACGCGACAAGGAATGACGACTACGAAGTTAAACCGAAGCTCACATTCTCTCATACATGGACATAAGGATGAACGGAGCGAAAAGTGTGATTATAGACAAGGGGTTGTGAAGCTTAAGGGGCAAGAAGGGATACATCATCGCGGCCATGTTGGTACAGGAGTTTTGTATCTATTTTCACTGTACAAAAACAGTGACCATCTTGGTACATCAACTCCATTACAATAAAATACAATCATTCCCCTAACCTCTTGGGCTTCAGCCCCGCGACAATTCGCTATGTCCATGTATTCTTACGTTCATGTTCTCATATGTGAAGCTTATACTGGCTATTGGTAATGAAAATTTCTGCAATGAAATGGTTAAAAGATATTACCCTATTGAAACGGTTGTTATTACTGGCTGTTGTTGTTAGAATAACACAACCAACGATAGTCGGTTACTTTTATAAATTTTTAAAGCTTAAACCAAAGGATTAATATTACTATGTTAACTCAAAGAGGATACCATACTTGAAAACTTTAGCGAAAAATATTGATTTCTTTTTGTAATGTTTACGGAATATACACATAATTACAAGTGCTTTTGCATCAAAATGTGTATGAAAAAATGATACAAAATATAAATTATATTTCTCGCTAAACATGCCAAACAAAGCAGCACATATTTTTACTTAAGATCTATATATGCAAAAACTTTCGAAAAAAAAGAATGGCATGATCGTGTCCATGTTTATTTGAAATGACGTTTTGTCGAGTACCTCTACATTATCGACATTTCTAGAATCCGTTTTTGGCATTCCCCTAAGGCATCCCCCTAAGGAGAGTTAATCAATAGTAAGATTATAATTATTATTATATTATCATTATTATATCACAATATTTTTATCATTATATATTATGTTATAACATGTTATTATTATTATTACCAGTAAGTAATTTGCGTTTTACATGTGCCTTCCAAATCTTTTCCTTATATATGTAAACCTAAAGTCTTCATGTATCTCTATCTTTCATGTTATTCATTTTTATTAGTCGGTAATAATATTATCTGCTGACTAATTTTTCACTTTCACTGTTTCTACTTTTCTTTTCATTGTTTCTTATATATTTTTCTACTTTTTACTACTATTTACTATATATTACTTTTCTTAGTCGGTAATAATATTCATTTTTATTAGTCGGTAATAATATTATCTGCTGACTAATTTTTCACTTTCACTGTTTCTACTTTTCTTTTCATTGTTTCTTATATATTTTTCTACTTTTTACTACTATTTACTATATATTACTTTTCTTAGTCGGTAATAATATTCATTTTTATTAGTCGGTAATAATATTATCTGCTGACTAATTTTTCACTTTCACTGTTTCTACTTTTCTTTTCATTGTTTCTTATATATTTTTCTACTTTTTACTACTATTTACTATATACTACTTTTCGTATTGCGCGCGCAACGATAAATTTTTTATAAAATTATAAATACATATATACACAACCGTTTTCTTATGGTGCAATAACATCATGCATCAATAGGATTAAGTAGGATTAAGTAGGATTAAGAAAATAAATTTTCTATTGTATTCTATTTTGTTCACCTTCCTTTTCTTCGTTTGTAAAATAAAATCACGATTTTAATCGTTTTCTTTTTAATATTTTGTTATTTTCGATATGAGACCTTAGGCGTTTTATAATTTTTTTATTTAAGAGATTATTATTATTACTTTACTATTAGATTAATATGTACATATAGTACCGATGATAAAAATATTTATTAAAAATAATTATATGGATATATTATCTAAATAATTATACTTGATAAATATTTTTATCAATGATTTCAAACTTGTGACCAGTATTTTAGTAGATGTAGTTTATAAGTTATTTAATTTATAAGTTTTGGAATTATAAGATAGGGCATATAAAGTGTATTACGGAGTCGCGAGATTGCTACAAATGTAATACCAAATGTAATACGAGTTATTCCTGCATTAATATTTTATTTGCATCGGAACTTATTTAATATTCTTTATCGCGTACGCGCTACACGATAAGCGGCTGTTTTTTATGAAAAATAATCTCGCCGTTGAATTATCCTAACGAACCTTCGTTCAGTAACGTAAAACCTTGGAAGCACGGCAGTACGAACGTCGATCGGATGTCTACGGTCGATAATTGGATGAAATCTGAGACCGTCCGACGCCACATGTTCCCCTTTTCGTTACCGAATAATATTACTCTGAAATTATCGATGAAGTAAGGTAAATCAATTCATCTAACAGTCCTAAAACGGGAGAAACTACATATACATCTTGTGTGCCTGATACAAGGTAAATATATCAAATTGTCTTGAAGGTAAAGCAGTCCCATCGTTATAAGTGTTTGCAAGCATTGTCGATAAAACTTATTTTCTCGCAACCCTCACGATCGATGACACGTAGATGTCTCGCGTTTCGCGATAAAATGACAATGTCAATTATACTGTCAGATACAGCGGCTGATATAACTCGCCGATGTCAATAAATGTCGATTTCACGAATATACAACATATACGATTAAACAATAAAATATAGTAAGCTCGAGAGATATATATATAGAGAGAGAAAGAGTATACGTTTACATCTTATATAGATTATCTTAAAAAAGGAAAGAATTTCATCTAATATTTCATCTAATATTTTGCTTATATAGGAATATTTCAGGAAATAAATAAATAAATTTTTATTCTGATATTATAAGTAAAATGTTCCTTTGGAATATTACCATTTGAATATGCGTGTAAGCACGATAACGGCTTGCAATGAAATTTATGGAATATTAGTCAATGATGTCAATCAGTGATAAAAGCCTCCACTGATCAATTTTCATCTCGAGGATGTGTTCGGTATCTGAGAACTCCATAAAGGTCGATAACCAGGATGAAGTTGTGATGAGCACGAAGGATCGACCGAGAGATGTGAAAAAACCAACTTTGACGAGCGGGACTCCACGTCGACATGGTAGAAATCGCGTTCTATCGAGCCAGGCACACGAAGCGAGTTAATCGCCAGAGCAAATCAGGTTAAAAAAGTCACGTAAGCTCGCGTTCTGCTCGGATAACGTACACGAATATTCGGATCATTCGTTTTACGTGAAAGCTTTTTGACGATTCGTTGCGCGATCGATAGCAAGTACTTATTTAGTAACTTTCATTTTTAATAAAATGAATTTTAATTAAAAAAAAACGAATCACTATCTGAATGATATTATGTTTATCATTCTTTCTGATATTATACGATTCGATTCTTTAAATTATCAAGTAATATCTTTTAGATGATGTATGTATATGTGTCGCAATTAGAAACTTCGAAGGACGAGAGCCAAATAGATAATTTACTGCAACTTGTCATAATCATTCGTTTGCAATTATTCTATTAATATAAAACTGGATTATTAATATGTAGCACTATATTGAATCAACGGATATTGCAACTATGATTAATACAATGACTGCTACAATGATTAATACGAATGATATTGCAATTAAATGTTCCGTCACTATTAGATCGATTAATCTGATGAAATGTTGGGCGAAGTGCAGCATAATGACAATTTGAATCGAGAGAGAACGTATATATGTGGAGAGGGAGGGGAAAGGGAGAGAGGAAGGGAGAGAAGAGAGACAGGACGTTATTGTGGGTTTATGTGCTGTACATAGTATAGGTATCTTCATACTTTATAGCGTATACACATCCCTGTATACTTTATAACGTTCATTCAATCGGATTACAAGGTGGATATATCCGGAGTTAAGATATCGTCGAGGCTTTGTTTTATCGCGCAGTGACCCTGGACGTAGGACCCGATAAATAAATAAATAACTGCTTTCGCTCGCGCAGAAAGACTGAGGTCATATGCACTGGTGAGAAATAGTGAGACGTTTACATGACATGTTGAAATGTAAAAATAAAAAAAAACGTATGTCATATGCTGAACGTTACAGTTCCCGAGCCGCTGTACGTCGCAGCAATTAACCGTTTGTCTATTCACGGGATTAATAAAACGCTACCATGTAATTCACAATCTACGAAAATGATACGCGAAATAACAAATTTCTCTTTGAAATAATTCGTTTCCCTGGGTTAATTTCGTGAAGAATTCGAATACACAATTCCACGTACGTTACTCAACTCACTCGTGTTGAGTAATTTATCGTTTTCCCTACGAATTATTCAAGCACGAATAGAAGAAATGTGGAAAATCAATTAAACTTCAAGTATGCCGTGTTGGAGGGGAAAAAAAACAGTTAATTAGCGAGACACGGCAAAATTTTATCAAATTTTTGACATGAGGAAAAACAGATTGTAGTTTGGAAATAAACGGAATGTTGCAGAAAGTTTCATCGGTTTTTCAGTAACCCGATGCCGACAGATTATAACGCTTCGTCATTTTCGCTCTATAGGCGAACAAACATTTCAATTGAAAAATTTCAACCACAAATTCGCAGTCGCGTGTTATATATGTGCACAGATTTACACCGCTTTGATTGAAACAAATCCGTTTCACGATAAAACATTGGCAATTTAC